TTAGATATCCTTTTACGACGAACATTAGCTACGTTTGCACTTAACAAATCCTGACAACATTTTGCCCTTGTACACTCTTTAAACCAACCTCGTCTGGTTAACTAGTTCACTAGTTACTAGTCGGTCCTAAGCCAGGGTAAGGAGGGAAGCTTGGGCATAGGGCTAGCAACCCTATCCCATAAAACAAATCTAACTGCTAAAGAAACTTCAAAGCCCAAACGAAATATAAAAAATAATAAGGAAATTATTCCTGTCTGGAATCGGAGAGGCGAAATGACGCTAATTGTTGAAAGCCTTCGTGAAGCCAAATGTAAGAGCCGATTTGTTTTCTCTGGATGAAAGCGAAAGTAAGCATGGGGACATGGAATATCCGCACCACATTTGAACCTAGTTGGCAAGCCTGCCCAGATTGCAAAGGAGATGAGAGGGTATTGCATGGAAGTGATAGGAATTTGCGAAAGCATATGGAATGGGAGTGGACTCTCCAAATTGTAAACTGGAGAGGAGTCAATAATGTACTCCGATATTGTCACTCAGACGACAACCATGAGCAAACTGAGTTTTCGAGTGGCTATCATTATGTCCCCTCCCAACAACATCGAAGGCTCCCTCTCATGCAGTGGGAACCAATCCCCACAACCACCAGGATCATGACAGCAAGATGGATTCAACTCGAAAGGAAGGAAAGTCACAATCATGCAATGATATGTCATGCATGTCTGCACCTACAAATAATGCAGATGAAGAGAAGAAGGAGGAATTCTATCGACAACTTCAATCAACACTGAACAGGAACTCACTTTACGATATCGAAATTCTAATGAGTGACATGAATGCCGAACTGGGAGCAGACAACATAGGAAGCAGTAGATAACCAACCATGGGTCGAGAATCACTCAGTGAAATGATGAACGAGAATGAAGAACTGTTTGCAGAAATCTGTGCATTCAACAATTTGGTGATTGGAGACACTGTGTTCATGCACAAGGATATCCACAAAGCGAGTGACATGGATTTCACCAGACACCAGGACAAACTGCACTGAGAATCAGATAGACCTCATCACAATGTGAAGAGAATGGAGATGCAGTCTACTTCAGTTCAAATACAACACCCAGAACAGAACAAGAAGCACGAAATTGCAAAGGAATTCTTCACGTCAGCCAGCCATCAAGACAAAATGGGAGATGTCGAGCAACATCTCTGAAGAAACCTGTGTAAATGAACACTGGAAGTCTTTGAAAGAGATGAGGAAAGAAACCTGCATTACCGTATTAGGAAGGAAGAGGAAAGAAGGTAAGGAATGGATCTCGACGGACACATGTAAGCTGAGAGAGGAGTGAGAGGAGGATATTGAAGCAGAAGATAAACCAGTGCAGTGCAAGGATGCTCAACGACGAGAAGACGAACTGAGTACAATGTATAGAACATGACACTGGAGGAAGAAGTGAAGAAGGGTGCATGCAAACACAAAAGACACCTCTGTAACACATTGGCAAGTGAAGCAGAACAGGCTGAGGACTGGTTCGAGAGACCTGACAACATTGTATCAAATAAGCAGGCTACTATCTGGAATGGGAGAGATCAACACAGATGAAAGGAATAAAAGATGGTGGAGGAAATTTAATTACGAAAGGGGAGAAACAAAGGAAACTATGGGTTGACCACTTCGAGAAGCTATTGAATCGACCACCACCACCAACTTCACTTCGTGTAGAGATGCCACCGACAGCACAGCCACAGAACTACCAGTGAACACAAACCCTCTGACGAAAGTCGAAGTCGCGAAGGCCATAAAACTACTGAAATGTGGGAAAGCAGCAGGACGAGAAGATGGGATCCCGCCACAAGCACTGAGAACAGACTGAGAGACAACTGCAGCGGATATGCTCACACCACACGACTATTGCAGAAGGTGTGTAAGGAAGGGAAGGTAGCTGTCAGTTGATTGGAAGAAGGGTTAGCTTGTCAAACTGCCGAAGAAGGGAGACCTCAGTGTTTGCAATAAGTGGCGTGGAATCACACTCCTGTCAACCCAGAGCGAGCAAAATATGAAGCCGCATCATTCTGGAGAGGCTGAAGCATGCGTTGTATTCAAAACTACTACCGGAACAGGCTGGCTGGCAGGCTGGATTCAGGAAGTACAAATCATGTGCTGATCAAATTGCAACACTACACTACGCATCATGATTGAACAGAGTATAGAATGGCAGTCCAGTTAACTCTCTACCTCAACTTCATCGACTTTGAGAAGGCCTCTGACATCGTCAACTGAGAAGTAATTTAGCTGCTGCGTCAACACTATGGAGTACCGTAAACCTTTATCAAGCTCATTCAACAACTATATGAAGACGCCACATGCCAGCCAAGTAATTCACAATGGGAAGCTCAGTGGTGCTTTTCAGGTGAAGACAGGAAGGAGTGAAATCAGGCTGCTGCCTACTATCACCCATGATATTCCTGATTGTGGTCGACTCTACTGGATCATGCAACAGACAACTGTGATGATCGAGAAGAGGGGGATACGCTGGTTGGACTGTGGAAAAGACGGTGGAAGATTTTGATTTAGCTAATGACTTGTGTCTGATGTCACACAAACTCGAAGGAGATGTACGGGCGAAAACTAGCAAGTTGACAGGGGAGGTGAGGCGAGTCAGCGAAGACGGGACTTCAAGTGAATGTAGAGAAGATGGAGGTGATGAAGATACCCAGCCAACGAAACCAACAACAACAACGACAAGAAGCTGCAATCACCATGAAGGGGAGAAACTTAACGGAAGTTGCCACTTTTACTTATCTAGGTAGAATTGATTCAACTACATGTGGCGGTGGCACAGACGAGGATGTGAAAGTCATAATCGGAAAGACAGCAAGACAGGCGTTCATTAGCCTGAAACCAGTGTTGAGATATTTTGCACTGAGCACAAAGAAGGGGATCCGGATTTTCAACACCAACCTCAGTCACTTCAGTGCTTCTATATGGTTCAGAGACTTGGCGCGTTATGAAGAGCATTTCCAACAAACCACATATATTCATCAAAAACTGCCTACGCTGTCTCGTTTCTGAAGATTGATGAGATGTCCAGAATAATGAGAATAAGCAACGAGGGACTCTGACCGTCAACGAACCAATGAAGCAAGAAAGAACCTATCGTCCAATAAATATGCAGTGGAGGGAAGTGGATATGGATTGTGTTGGTCATACACTGAGAGGGTCGACTGGGAACATCACGCGTGGGGCCGTCGAGGCCGTCGAGTGTAAGCCAGATGGTAAACGACAAGTTGGGCGTTGGAGGCGAGGATGACATTGAGTAGATCGTGCGGTTAGGAAATGGGAAGTTCTGTGCTGTCTTGGAGCCAGGTTGAAACGATCGCAATTTCGGGAGTGAAATGGAGACGTGCTACTGAATCCTTATTTTCTGTTAGGAACCCAAATGACTAAGAATAGGGTAGTAATATTAATACGGTCTCTAAACTAATAAACCACAATTCCGGTGATTATTACCAATGATGACCCAAATATCTTCAATATGTTATATTGTTTCGATGTTTGGTACACATTAATATGTACTCTAGTGGCTTCAGAAAAAATGGATGATGTGCGAATCAAATTGTAACACTGCATTACGCATCATCATGGAACGGAGCGTAGAATGGTCGTCAACTCTCTACCTCAACTTCATAAATTTTGAAAAGTCCTTCAACAGCGTTCACTGAAAAGTAATTTGGCAGCTGATTCAATGCTACGGTTTCAGTGTCGCAAACCTGTATAAATCTCATTCAACAGCAATAAGCTGTGTGATGGTGGATGTCAAGGGATTCACAATGGAAAGCTCGGTGATGCCTTCGAAGTGAAGACTGAAAGGAGTTAGACAAGGTTGCCATCTAATATCATTACTGATGATCTTGCTGAGTGTGGTCCACTGGACTGGAGCATATAACAAACTGTGAGGAGCTGTGAAATGATGGGTATGTGCTAACTGGACCGATGAAAAGACTCTGGAATATTTGGATTTTGTCGATGATGATTTATGTCTAATGTCCTGTCACCAAAAATTAAGGATTTGGCAGAAGAGGCGAGGCAGCTAAGACGAGACTTCTTTCAGGTGAACGTAGAGAAGACAGAGGTGATGCAGATACCCAACCAACAATAGCAACAACAAGCACCGATCACCATCAACGGGAGAGATCTAAAGGAAGTAATCTCTTTCACCTACCCACCTAGGCAGCGTCCTCTCAACTACAGGCAGCGGTGGCACAGATGAGGATGTCAAAACCAGGATTGGAAAGACAGCAACACAGACCTTCATCAATCTGAAATAATCAGTACTGAGATCTACTGCGCTCAGCATGTGAAACAAGATCCAGATGTTGAACACTTATGTCAGTCAAGTCAGTGCTTCTATGTGATGGTTGAGAAACTTGGCGTGTCACGATAACCACTTCCAATATACTACAGACATTCATCAACAGCTGCTGCTTAAGCTCATTTGATACTGACACTGAAGATCGATGAGATGGCCAGAATAATGAGAATAAGTAAGAAGGAACTGTGGCTGTTTGGGAACGAATCAACCAAAAACCTATCACCCAACAAATATACGGTGGAAGAAAGTCGAGATGGATTGGGCATACACTGAGAAGACAATTGGGCGACATCATGCGTCATGTCAGACCAGACGGTCGAGTGGAATCCAAATGGGAAACGACGAGTTGAGCTTTCGAGGTTAGGGTGACACAGAGGAGATCGTGTGAGAAAGAAAGGAGTGCTTGTGGAGTGTCGTGGAGCCAGGTTGAAGAGACTGGAGAGAAGAGAGTGCAGTTGAGGCATGCTACTGAATCCCTATGTCCCACTAGTAACCCAAGGGAATAATAATAATGATAATCAAACTTGCCAAATTATATATTTATGACAATAACCGATTGCATCCATTAGTAATAAACGAGTCATACAAACGCTTAATGTCCTTGTTGCTTTCTTAATAATTATCACTTTCTAGATTCAAAACATTCTACTGATATCTGTGCACTACCAATGAAGAAAGGATACTGTCCTAAGAAGCATAAGCGTTTCTATTATGATTCTAAATCTCAACAATGCTTAGAATTCACTTACAGTGGTTGTGGTGGTAATAAAAATCGTTTCCATACCACAGAAGACTGTGAACGAGCTTGTAAAAAGCAGTCGAATGCCAAAACTAGTCAAACTACTGTCAGTCTACAAACTACAACAAGAATTGTTCAAGTTACAAAGTCTTTAAAAAAGCGTACAGGTTGAAGTTCATACTTTTGAATCCTTGAACGTTTCTTATTAAACTGTGAAATGAACATAATTTGCTGTATCCATCTGATATATTTGCTAAGTTTTTTCATACTATGTTAAAAAAAAATAGTTACAGTAATTTCCTTGTTTTTCTACATGTGTACTATTGACACCGAATTCCTGAGATGATGATTTTTAGATACAGACGTGATAAATGACGTAAATAAAGAAGATTCCCTATCTTGTCATTGAAAAACAAAAGATGATTACAGCGAAGATAAGTTTCTTTTCGACGACTCGCTTTCACAGCTGTACAATCGTAAATATACAACTAACATAATCGACTGTTCCAGACAGGTTTTGAGGTTATAAAGGTCTAGGAATAATTAACTGTTATTATGTAATAGAATGCACTTCTACGAAACACTGGCAAGTGAAGCAGAACAGGCTGAGGACTGGTTCGAGAGACCTGACAACATTGTATCAAATAAGCAGGCTACTATCTGGAATGGGAGAGATCAACACAGATGAAAGGAATAAAAGATGGTGGAGGAAATTTAATTACGAAAGGGGAGAAACAAAGGAAACTATGGGTTGACCACTTCGAGAAGCTATTGAATCGACCACCACCACCAACTTCACTTCGTGTAGAGATGCCACCGACAGCACAGCCACAGAACTACCAGTGAACACAAACCCTCTGACGAAAGTCGAAGTCGCGAAGGCCATAAAACTACTGAAATGTGGGAAAGCAGCAGGACGAGAAGATGGGATCCCGCCACAAGCACTGAGAACAGACTGAGAGACAACTGCAGCGGATATGCTCACACCACACGACTATTGCAGAAGGTGTGTAAGGAAGGGAAGGTAGCTGTCAGTTGATTGGAAGAAGGGTTAGCTTGTCAAACTGCCGAAGAAGGGAGACCTCAGTGTTTGCAATAAGTGGCGTGGAATCACACTCCTGTCAACCCAGAGCGAGCAAAATATGAAGCCGCATCATTCTGGAGAGGCTGAAGCATGCGTTGTATTCAAAACTACTACCGGAACAGGCTGGCTGGCAGGCTGGATTCAGGAAGTACAAATCATGTGCTGATCAAATTGCAACACTACACTACGCATCATGATTGAACAGAGTATAGAATGGCAGTCCAGTTAACTCTCTACCTCAACTTCATCGACTTTGAGAAGGCCTCTGACATCGTCAACTGAGAAGTAATTTAGCTGCTGCGTCAACACTATGGAGTACCGTAAACCTTTATCAAGCTCATTCAACAACTATATGAAGACGCCACATGCCAGCCAAGTAATTCACAATGGGAAGCTCAGTGGTGCTTTTCAGGTGAAGACAGGAAGGAGTGAAATCAGGCTGCTGCCTACTATCACCCATGATATTCCTGATTGTGGTCGACTCTACTGGATCATGCAACAGACAACTGTGATGATCGAGAAGAGGGGGATACGCTGGTTGGACTGTGGAAAAGACGGTGGAAGATTTTGATTTAGCTAATGACTTGTGTCTGATGTCACACAAACTCGAAGGAGATGTACGGGCGAAAACTAGCAAGTTGACAGGGGAGGTGAGGCGAGTCAGCGAAGACGGGACTTCAAGTGAATGTAGAGAAGATGGAGGTGATGAAGATACCCAGCCAACGAAACCAACAACAACAACGACAAGAAGCTGCAATCACCATGAAGGGGAGAAACTTAACGGAAGTTGCCACTTTTACTTATCTAGGTAGAATTGATTCAACTACATGTGGCGGTGGCACAGACGAGGATGTGAAAGTCATAATCGGAAAGACAGCAAGACAGGCGTTCATTAGCCTGAAACCAGTGTTGAGATATTTTGCACTGAGCACAAAGAAGGGGATCCGGATTTTCAACACCAACCTCAGTCACTTCAGTGCTTCTATATGGTTCAGAGACTTGGCGCGTTATGAAGAGCATTTCCAACAAACCACATATATTCATCAAAAACTGCCTACGCTGTCTCGTTTCTGAAGATTGATGAGATGTCCAGAATAATGAGAATAAGCAACGAGGGACTCTGACCGTCAACGAACCAATGAAGCAAGAAAGAACCTATCGTCCAATAAATATGCAGTGGAGGGAAGTGGATATGGATTGTGTTGGTCATACACTGAGAGGGTCGACTGGGAACATCACGCGTGAGGCCAGCGAGGCCGTCGAGTGTAAGCCAGATGGGAAGTGACGAGTTGGGTGTTGTAGGTGAGGGTGACATTGATGAGTTCTTGTTGGGAATAAATGAGAGCTTGTAGGCTGTTATGGTTGCAGGTTCAAAAGATTTCAGACAGCAGAGTGAAATGGAGACATGCTACGGATTCTTTATGTTCTATTAGGTACCCAAGTGACTAGGAATAATGATAATAATAATTATAATGTAATAAGATGACTTTGAATAGGTCTTTTAGCAACGTTTTCAGAAGAATCGGATGTGCAGAATCTATGAAATGTTCAACCATGGAGCTGGAGATGGCTTTGTGGTCACGCTTCAGTAGCCAGGTTGTATAATGTTCGCGAGTGTATTTTTCAAGGGATCCATTGTACAGCTAGTGTACTCAGCTATATATGAGCAAAAGAATTTGTAAATGCACATTGACGAGACTCAGTGCGTTTACGTGTTTCTCGTTAACTAACAGATCAGCTGTAGACATGAGAACGCAATATAGAAATCTGTAGCGTAGAATGTTCCAGTTGGGGATTTCTAGAAAAGTTGACGAAGTATATCCTCACCAATATCATCTTTGAATTTAGGCTTCATTAAAACTGTTTTCTTCGGAGCTGACTAAACCTGTTTCGAATTATCTTTCCTTCCATAATTTTCTTAATAAATATGGATAGGTAACCATTCTCTAACGGTTAATATAGGTGTGAAACTTGGGCACTGTAGCACAATTTAATTCCGCATATCAGATTTGTTTATTTGATTTATAACACACAGTGATCCAGTATTATTTACTCAATGACATTTAGAGCATAAATGATCATTGCTCATAATCATCACATCAATGTAATCACACTACTTTCAACAATCGATTTTTATAGTCACGCCACCTCACATAATTTGGTTGTATTGGTAGCAAAATTTTTCATATCTCTGGTATAGATGTTACGTCATTTCTATTACATATGTTGCGTGTTGATTCGATGAACAAAGACTCAGTAATCAATCTCTCCACCTAATTATAATGGACTTGAGTACAGTGGCTTCATCCCACCTACTCCATTGTGTAGTTGTGTGTTAATGCGTGCATTTCAGTAGCCAAGTCTCCCTCTAGATTATTGATCTTATTCGCATCTGTCATTCTACATTTAGCTAAATTCCTATGTTCGGCTATTCTAACTGACCTCGACCGACTAGTTTGACCTATATACTTGACCTCACAGTCATTACATGAAATTCGATAGATTATATTATTTTGCCTAACTGGTTCTATCGGATCATCAAGCCGAGTGAGTATGTAGGTTCAAATGCTACCCTAACTACAGCTTTGTTGAGGATTCTATATAAAGTTTCTGAGGTACCCTCTTTATAGGGTAATACAATAGGGGCTGTGAACTCATTTTTTCTCGTGTTGTCGTCGTTAGTCGAACTCGTGTGACTGTCATTTTTTCGTTTTTTGTGTGTCGGTAAGAATTTCTAAATAAACTGCGCAGGATAATTATTAACTGTTAGCGCTTCTTTTACGCATTTCAATCCCTTGTTTACGTTCTTGCACTGACTAGTCAGTTTTCTAGCTCTACCATTTAGACATTTGACTAATTCTGCCTTCAATGACTGACATTGGATGGATGACCTGAAGTCTGAATACCTGTTGGAATGTGTTGGTTTTCTGTAGACGGTAGTATCCAAGCCACCGTCTGTTATTCGTTTAATTCTCCAATCCAACATAGGGAATTTTCGTTGTTCAGTTTCTACCTCCTTGTAAGTGGATTGGACTGCTACTGAGTTAATATATGTGAGGAAATTATCGATATGTTCCGATTTCAACATAATAAATGTGTCATCCACATACTGCCACTATACCTTAGGTGGAGGAGTGAACGTTTGTAACGCCATTTTTTCTCAGCTATCCATAAATATATCTGCTACGATTGAGGATGTAAGTGATGTCACTGCTACTCCTTCCCTTTGTCTGTATATTTTGTCCTAAAACTTGACAACTGTGATAGTCAGGCACAACCGTACGCCTAATACGACCTCATCAACTGATATCTTAGTTCTGGTAGTAAGTTCTGAGTCAATATTGATTTCTAACAGCCTCTAGTGCTATATTGATTGGTATTTTAGTAAACAGACTAGTTACATCGAACTAACCATTTTTTCATCCTCTTCTATATGTAGGTCATTAAGCCTAAGTTTTAAGTCGTAAGAGTTTACCATTTTGGAATTTAAACGGTTCCTAATCGGACACAATATCGATGCTAAGTACTTTGGTAGTTCATATAATGGAGTATTTTGGAAATCAACTATGAGTCTAATAGGAAAACTCGGTTTATGAACCTTAATAGTGCCATAAATTGTGCTAGAATTATTAGTTTTAGGCATTGATGATATTTCCCGGACGGTTTCAAGTTCTTAAATAAGTGTATCAACACTGAATATTTTCTTTATTCTCTATCAGAACGAGCACACGATGTTCCTATTCCTACTTAAAGGCTCCAAAGTTTGAAAGTCGGTTAGTTACCCATTCGAATAAGACCTCCTCTAGATGAATTTTTCAATAGAATTGTCAGACCTCCATTAGAGTTTGATGTTTAATTTATCTTTAAGTGTAAATTTGATTAAACGGTAGCTATCATTCATCGTCTTTACAAGTTTGACTTTTGACTGCAGACCTGTCTGAAACATTCTGTTATTTTACCTATATATTTATGAATACAAGGCTGTGAAAATAAGTTGTCGAAATAATAATCCTTGTTTTAACACTTTTCTATTGCTCTTGAATGAACAAATGAATTAGTTAGAAACCTTAACTACAGTATCAACAAAC